ACCGGCTGCGACTGATGATTGATCAATACAAATAATTTGGTAGGTTCTACTTAAATGATCAATTTATATTTTTATAAATATTTGCAAAATCACCAATTTTACTGTATTAAAATATACGTTGATACTAATTATTAACATTTTATAATTATACGACATTTATATTTTATAACAAATTATGCTATTCTATAACAATTCAAACTCTATTTTATTTATTTGAGATACGATGAGTTTGTGCTCAGCTATATTATGTTGAATTACATAACTACACTCTGTATTATACAAACTATGACGTCATTATTAAAATATTAACGTTGATTTAGCATTACCTATGTCATTATGTAATGTACATATTATTATGTTTAAAATATAAGTACTAGAAATAAGCGCCATGCGCCAAGCCTGTATAGTAATCTGTATATCCGTGTATAATTATTTTTATACTAGTCTAAAAAAAAATATTGGTCAGAAAAGAGCTGGTGAAAATAATAGGTATTATGTTATTATACTGTCATAACTCGTAATAATTAACGGTTTGATTATTAATTTAAATGAATATTGGCAAACACGCTATAACACCTACATAATATAAATATGGGGGACGAGGTGACCGAGTGGTCTGACTCTTCCGCTGCGACGCAGCCGGTTGCTGTTTTATCCTCGGTTACCGGGCGGCATTTTTCTCCGGACAAGTCGCGGTGACCGGAGAGCAAGTGCTGCCATCCCCCACCCCCGGGGCATGGCAGAAACCTACGGGTGCCCCATTCGAAATTCTGCCAAAACAAACACACACGTGTTCCCCCTACCGTTCCAAAAACCTACAAACCATCAATACAAAAACCTACAGTACCTACTAATAGCTAATGGCCACAGTTGCCGGGCTCAGGATCAATTAAAAAAAAAAAAAAAAAAATATAAATATATAATATCATACAAATTCTTACTTGCAGAAATGCTGCATTAATAATAATATATTCACTGATAATGATATATTACTCATTTACTCATTCACAAACACAAACAAGTAACGATAAATGTGCTGTGCTAAGTTTAAACAATTTATGAATGCCTTGCTAACTTTCATTGGCGCCCCTAAAACGAATCTAGGACGTCCCCCTTTGCCTAACCCTCGATTTATTGGACATCTCCCCCCCCCCCTAAAAAAGGGACAATTTCCTACCGAACAAAAAATTAAAAGTAAAAATATTAAACAACAATATGCAATTCAAATCAATACATTTCCAAATGATTAAATTAACATAGTTCAATAATACGTTATAATAACACTATTGCCATTACAAAATTCACTAATATAAATATTAAAAATATTGAACAGTATACAAATTACAAATACAAATACCAAAATAAATGTAGGTACCAACTGTTTACGAGATTTTTCATAAAATAATTATACAAAGTCTTAAATTAATGTAAAATTTTATGTAATTCAAGAATACACTTACATAACTTTAGTTTATCAATCATTACCCATTCAATTGGGTAATAAATCAATTACGTGAATGATGATAGTAGATAGATGATTACATATTTGAATACTTCAGGTAAAACCAAAGAACCTATTTTCCTATCTATTATTATGTGTTCAAAAATATATATGAACTCAGGAGGGAAATTTCTTAGCAAAGGGGGAAACGTCCAAACACCCTATTAAACATACATATTTAAACATTTGCCATCCTTTAAAATGTTACAAATTTTGGCACCCTAGGGCACTTGCCCCATTCTCCTGTCCCTCATCACGCACAGAAATGTATAATAGTGTACACGGCAGCTATGCAGCTACCACATAATTATTTAACAGGAGGAAATGTAATGTTTATAATTGGAAAATTATGATTGCATATTACTATTATTATAATTGTTTATTGTAGATGTCATACGTCCCGTTTTTAGTATGTTTTTAGATTTGAGATAATAATACTTGATATCATTACAATTTACAGGTTAGTGATTATCGAGGATTTAGATGAAGTTGGATACTATATAGACTTAGTAGCGGTGCAAACAATTTTTTTTCATGGGACAATACATTTTTTCCAACTCACTTACACCTGAAATACTGATTCTGAAATGTAGTTACACCCAAAAGTCAGTTAACAACTGATAAATGCCCACTGCCAAGTGTCCAAATAAGGCAGTACCCACTCACAAACCCACAATTTTTTGTCAGGGACACTTGTCCCGAAAATTCTCAGTCATGCCACCACACCATATCTAACTATTTAAGATTTAATTTTAGTCTGAGGTAGTTACCATCTAAAGTTTAAAGGTAATAATTTCCATCGACTGTTAAGGTTTTACAACATTGTATTTTAATATAATAGTGTCTATTAAAAAAATAATAGAAAATCAATCCTTTACGCCTTTATCATAAATATGAGGGTTTATTTTTAAACTTTGAAAAACATCGATAATTTGATTTTCTACATATTAAAATATAATGGTCGAGTTTTCGATGAACATAACTGGTTCAAATGCCAATGTGGAAATAATATTCTCACTTAAATAACTTCTGAACTTAAAGAAATAATGAATTGGAACTAAAAGCTATTAAAGTGGCCATAGTAAAATTACCTTTATCACAAACATTGTACAGATGGCTAGGTATTTATTAGGAAATCCATAGTTTTTTTATTATATAGAAAGTAATAAGACAATCCCAGCCTATGTAGGCTATCTACATATATAGATATTTACAGGAAGGTAATTATTTTGGCTATTTTATCATGTTAATAATTAATAATAATAACAACAATAGTAATATACTTAAGATTGGTTAGTCGTACGGCAATATGTATAGTGGTGTATAGAAAATCCATAGTTTAATTACTTATTTTTTTCTTTTCTTCCAACAAATATTAAAATAAAATTGTACACCATGTCACCATCAACAACCCTTTATTTTGGGGCAGCTCCGGCACTGTTTAACTATAACTATTAATTATTATTATATTTTACTAAACTTATGTTAAAGAACACACCCTTCAACAAAATCCAGAACTTCCTTTACGGGCTACATCTATGAACCATATAACCCAAGGTTAAAAACCTAAAAAGGTCTAAAAGAGTTTTTAAATTTAACATAAACCAGATATTATGATTTTTTTTTGTCCCATTTTTTTGAAATCTGGTAAAATCTCTAATATGATAATAATAATAATAATAATATCATGTTAATATTTGGTATATTTTGATGTATTATGTTTTTAAGGCGATTGGGTATAGGCAATATATGGCCGTCCAAAAATAAACGCAACATTTTAAATAAGCTCGGTAATAATAATAATTACTTTCAGAGTTTTCACAAAATAAGTAACAGAATTTAACAGTAAAATCTTAAGACGTACCAACGACTTATTCAAAATCGGCTTTAAGATCTAAAGTTCATAATATCGAAACATTGAAATTACCTACTACCTCTGCCAATACATACCTATTTATTCGTGGCTACTTTTAGTACCTAGGTTCCTAGTTTCCTACGCGTTTCCGTCTTCAGCCTTCTTTATTCGATCGACCACAATCGCTCATCATCTTCTTCGAACTTGGGTCGACTTTATTATCTATATTTGATTCATCACAATAATTAAGGTTACTCAAAACTAAAATGAAATGTAGGTACACAACTGTTGTGCGTTGTGACCTGCGGAGACTATTGATAAGAATACTAGACGTGTAAAATTGAAGCGTGTAGTTTACTTTATTGTAGCCTCTTCATCTCATAATTATCCTTAAATATAATATAATATTATTATAAACATAAAAAATTTGTAAACATTTTGTACCCGCTGTTGTACTGTGCATTTTTCCATAATTGGAAAAACCTAACTGCGACATAACCAAAAAATCAGAAAATTATTAGTACCACAGAATAGTCCGTGATTAATACCTAACCTAACCATATGAAATATAATAATATTACAGTCGAAGAATTTATATAATGAACCTAACCATAGAGTAAGAAAAACCTAACCAAAGAGTAAGAATACACCTAACCATAGACCACAGACCTGTTAATTAATAGTAAATATAGACCATATTATAGTCCATGGAATGTTAGAACGACGGGTCAGTTTATTAAACTTTAAAAAAATCTTAATCCGAGCTTCATGGTAGGTTTATTATTTGTTATATTTTTCAATTTTTTTAAGATTCTATGGATAGGTAGCACATATTTGTTATTCTTATTATTTACTTACCAGTTATCAGTGGCATATTGCTTTCCCTAAGTCTAAATAATTGTTTTCCAATAGATCAGATACTCTGATCAGTCTGATGTTACAAAAAAAAATTCCGTTGCTATAATTATTGCTAATTATTAATTCATATACGTAATATAATTGAAGTGTACCTCCCCCACCATCAAACATTACAAGCAATTCAAAGTACAAACCAACAAATAGTCTATAACTTATTCTACTTACATTTTTTTAAATTTTCAGTAAAAGTGTACAAGACTTACTTAGTTACTTCCCACCTTTTTATTCTTTATGCCTAAAAAGCATATAGGATATAGGTACCTACCCTAGCACTTTCATTATATAATATATACATTTGCTGTCTCAAATGTCTAAAATTAGACCCAAGTTAAAATTAAACAAGGTGCATACTGTAAGGACTAACTGACTAAGCCAAGACTGTAGAAGACGCTTAACCTTTTTCAATAGAATTTACAAAAAACATAGTAATATTATTTACAATCAATAAGATCCTAACCTAATGTATGAATATTCCAATTGCATTTTCAATATATTTCTTTTAATTGATTTTGATAATGGATATCAATTTATAGTAATTGTTGATACAAGTGAAACAGTTAAAAAATTAAAAATATGGAATATTTGATTCAGACAATGACTTGTATTTTTTTTTTTTTTTTTTTAAGGAACAATCAGATAACGGAATTAGCAACATTAAAATATTCAGTCTAAGTATTCTAGTATGGTGAAATAGCTAAAAACAAAGTATAAATAAAAAATACTAAATTAATACTAAAATACATATTACCATGTAGTGATTATGTTACGGTGAAAGATGTAAACGTGGTAAAAGACGTCATTCCCCGGTAAATGACATCATTTACCTAAAAATTGGTAAATGTTGTAAATGCAGACATTCCCCGGTTATTGTCGTCAATCACCAGTTTAGTTGGAGAATGATGTTCAATACTTTTATGTCGGTGTGAACGAACAGCGATAAGCGTGTAGGTGCCAAATAAGCTTCGTTAGTTAAAAATATCATGACGGAAGTAGATAGATAAACGAAAATCCCAACAAGCAATAACGTCGATAACCCGAGTAATAATATGAGATAATCTATTAGTTTATTAGTTAGTATCTATCTATAAACAAGCGTCGAAAATGTTGAGATTGACTAACGAAAAATTTTCTAAGCTTGATGTCGGTACAACTGTTCGTGTCCCAATACCAGATGTCGATAGAGCAAGAGGTTCTCCGCGTAATTTACTTGCTGTTATTATTTCATGTGAAGATGACATGTATAAATTATGTAAGCCAATTTTAATTTGATAATGTTTATTTAATTTAAAATGAAATAAATACCCGAATGTTTGAATCAGGTACAGAATATGGGGTGTTGAAACACAAATATACACGAGCACAAATTTCTCCGTGTAAAGAAAAATTTCTAGAGCTAGATGAAGCCATGAAAAAAATTAAAGACAGGGAAATAACATTACGAGAAGCCGCAGGACATGGAATAGCTGGTCATCAAGGATTTAATCGATGCAACTGTAAAACTGGTTGTGGAACTAAAAAATGTGCTTGTAATGCAGCAGAAATGTTGTGCAGTTCAAAATGTCATGGTAACCAAAATTGTACAAATAAATAATTTATAATATGTACGTATTTCATTATTTTTAATTAACTTATTATCCCATTCAAATAAATACCTAAAATAAAAAATGAATTACCCACCAACAATGAATCATTATTATAAGTAGTACCTATGGTAAAAAAATCAGTGTATTATTTGAGATTTATCATCATTTACCACCAGTTTTGGTAAATGACATCAATGGCCGGTGAAAGATGTACATTTGAATTTATAATCTGGTTTTTTACACCATTTACCTACATAATCAAATCATTTTGGTAATAGACGTCATTCACCGGAGAATGACGACATTCACCAATATTCATCTTTCACCGTAACAATTATATTGTTATCGTTCTATACATTTGTAATACTTTGAACTAATTGATAGCAATTTAAGTTCAAACATTTTGATGAAAATTATGATTGAATAATAGTCATACATATAAGATATAAGTATTGAATAAAATTTAAACTTGAATATGATTTGATAGATATATATCATACATAAAAGTTCATAAGAAATAATATTTAATCTGCATGTATACAAGTTATTAACATTTTGTAAACGTATATTGTAATATTATTATTGTAAAATTTGATTTTGTTAACAATTATTTTGAAGTTGATTTTCCATAAGGTTTGTGATGCTCCTTGATAAGCCAAATATGATCTATTACCTCGCCGTCCTAATAAAAAATGATTTTGTTAATTTGTAATAACATTCATTAACTTATTTTATGTTATTGTACATCAATATATACATAAATTATCAAAACAATATGTATGCATAAAAAGATTTATAAATATTAATAACATTCGTACCTTGTCATCAGACACTTGTTCAACATATAAATGTGTACTATTATAAATCTTCATACGACCATAACCATAATCACTACTTCTAATTGCAGACCAATCTGGGGGGTTTGGAATAAAATTGTCAGTTCTTTCTTGGCAACCCTGAAACAACAACAATTATTTATAAAATATCAAAGCAATAGAATTATTATAACAATAGGATAATAAAATATTTTACTGACAGCAGAACCAGATGTAATATGAACCGGAGCTCCTGGATTTGTATATGGTTCTAAATAAGAGCCATTATAAACAGTATGGTCATACACAGGCCACATTCTTTCATACGTATGTTCATGGCCCCAAAGACACAAGTCAACTCCATTATCATGAAATAGATTTTCTAACCCAAACCTAAACAAAAAAACATGATTTTATATTTTTTATGCAACTTATATTTTTTTTCTCAATCATAGTAGTACAGATTTCTGTACTTACCAATGGAGTAATGGGAGACCAACCCTAGTGATTGTTTCATGATATGTACAATCATCTTTATCATCGTCTGAACAATACATTGGTCTATGACCATAAACAATTATCCATGGTCTCTGTTTTCGATTTTCAGGTTTATTAGCTTCCTAAAAAGTAAAAACAATAAAAAAAAGATAACATAACAATCTTTTCAATGAAGGCAATAATATAAAATTATGTAAATTTACTTTCAGATCATTAACAAGCCATTCATATTGTAAAACAACTGGTTTAATTCCATAGTAAAGGAAATAGTAAAACTCTGTAGAAATACTAATAAAATGAGCTGGTCCTAAATTAAAACTATACATCATGTTCTCATAACCACCAGGCATACTGAAACGAGCTTTATAATTGCTGAAATTACTGAAAAATCACATATTAAATTAATATTTAATATTTATAAAAAAATGTTATTAATTAGTTCAAATCTAACTATTTTTGCTCGTGATTTCCAGGACAAGTCATGTATGGTACATATGAAGCTACAGGTTCCAATTGCCGCATGAATTCATCTCCAACTTTGGCATTTTCCTGTGAATTAATATTTATTTCATAGTAATGAATAATGATAATTTATTAATGGAAATGACAGAGTAGAAATTATTATTATATGATTTTATATTAATTCTTCAACTTCTCATTAATTAAATAAACACCCATAGAAGCAAGATAAAATTTGAAAGGACATTTTAAAAAAGTAGCAAGCAATTACCTACACCAGACTATTTTATTGATTAATTTTAAAAAAGTTCGATAGCAATTCGAATAATAAAATATTATATTATATTTTAGACTTTTAAATGCAAAGTGTGTAATAAAAACCAAGCAAAAGAAAATATTCAAGCAATAAGTAAAAATATTACCAAGACGAATAATGTTAAATAGAAATTATTGAACTGGTCAAGTATTTGTTATTTTTGATTATGTAAATATAAAAAAACAAATTATTACAATCTTTAAAATACAATATTATATTGAAGTAAAAACTAAAATAATTTAAATTGATAAATAACTAAATAAATTATTGAGTGTAAACATTATATATTCTGTACATAATATGTACAAATGTAACAGAAAAACCATGAAAAATATGACATGAGTCGACACAATTTTTCAATAGTTATTCTACCGATCTTTGATTTTTTCTTGGGGGGGGGGGGGTTAAATACTGTATAATAGTATTTTTTGAATAGTTATACACTTATACTTACACTATCCATGTCATATGCGAAATCACCAATATGAAGTATCATATCATAGAGTCCTCGTGCAGTTTCCTCTTGTAATCTAGGAAGTGATTGCGCATTTACATTTCCCAAATCACCGAAAAAAGCAAGGCTAGGTGACCAATTGGTATCACTAGGAACAGTTTTAAACCAAAACTGGGGAGACCAGCCTTGATTACTTCCACAATAATATACTATATAAATATAAAATTGTAATTACTAAATCTAGTAGTTACTACAGGAAACTCTTTATTTTCAAATATAATTACCATATTTACTGGACGGCTGTAATCCAGTAAGCTTGACACGGTGTATATACTGAGTACGGTGGAGTTCACCACCATCTACAAACAATGTAGAAGTACCTGTAGTCTTAAGAATTGGTCCGTTAATTCCATATTTGACCACTGATTCCTCTGTATTGTTCCATGTCGTCCATGTAACAACTAACTCAGTTTCAGATTCTAATAAACAAAGTTAAGATATGTAAATAATAACTAAAATATTCAATACCAAGAAAAGTTTTGTTTATAACTAAAATTATAATTATTTATTAATAAAGTATCTACTAAGAGTTTTAGATCAAAAGCAACAAGGTTGAATGTATCAAAGTTTATCAAAGTACAATTTGCGCCAAACTGATTATTTTTCGAAGAATTTTAAAATGATACTTTAAATTGAATTATATTTATTTTTAACATCTAGTTATTATTAAATGTATTCTATAATAATCATACAAGTTTGTAATTTTATAGCAAACACTCAAATAATTAGTTTTACATGGTGATACAGTTGATGAAATTAAACGTTTAGCACTAGGTAAAATTTTGAAAATGGCACTTCCATTTTTTGAAAGCTTTTAGGCACTTTCATTTTCATCTTTTACTCAAGTGAATAAATATATATTTTTATATTTTTAATTACTTTTAATATTTCTCCAATGGTGAATTTAGTGAATTTGTATAGGGAATTTGCATTGTTCAATTACTTATTTATAGTAAGAAAAACTTTCAACTCACCACCCAATGATAAATGAATTTGTTCTGGTTGATATCTTACAAGAGGATCTGCCGCGCAAAAGCTGAAGATTGTTAGGATAACTAATCGACAAGTCTTCATTTTGGTTTAAATATTATTAATTTTCGAATAAACTCACACAAATATCACGTTATAATCACTTTATCGAACAGATTTAGATTCATTGTGGTGTTATTAATTATTATAACTAATAACTATACTCAAACAAAACAATTTTCTTACATTTAATTGCGCAACAATGAAACTGAATACCTATTACCTAGCAAATTGCGATTCGACTACTAGATTTCCTGTATAATGGACAGTAGTACATAACAAACTGTGGTTCAATAACATTCATTAGTTCATAATTAAATAAATAAATAGCCAAAGTAGGTACTTGATGATAAAAATACCTTTTATTTGATGACTGATAAGCAATAGTAAAAAACAGGACGTTTTCAAGGTGACGTATCTGAAGTTAGAACCACTAAAATTATCAGATGATAAACGTAAACTCGAACATATCTTCAAGCAATTATTTTTGATTACTCATGGGTCATGATTATTATTTATTTGGAATTGGAAATTTGGAATCCTCAGCATTATAAAAGTTTCGCGTTTATCGTTTACTGTTGATTCTAAAAAGTTAAGTCTGTTCTTAAATTTCTATATCTTCAATTTTTCACAGGTATATATTTAAGTCATTGATGTATTACAAGTAGACATTTCTTTTATATTTGCTTATTGTGTTTCAGTCATGGCCGCCACAGTCACCACAGTTGAACCTATTCCTGATGTCGAGATGACAGATGTATCAGATTCCCAAGAAAAGAAGGACGCCGCAGTGATCCAAGAAATAAGGGACAATATTCGACAGATTGAAAAGGCCGTTCAAACAAAAGAAGCTCGTTTCATGTTGCGCGTCCTGCGATCATGGTCAGTTGCCCGACGCAAGCTCAATGCTGTTGTCTTGTGGTCGGTCATTAATGGTTTCTACACCCACTCTGTTTCTGACAAAGAACTGTTATTGTCATACGTCACTACACCGACTGACATACCAGAAGCAATCAAGATGCGCACAGGTAAAAATGCAACAGGAGCCCTACTACCTGAAATCGATGGCTATATCCGCTTGTTAGTGTTAGTACAACTAATCGATAAAGAAGATTACAAAAAGGCAGTGGAATTCTCTGATTTACTGATGGCAAAATTAATTGACAAAAATAGACGTACGTTAGATTTGATTACTGCTAAAGCATATTTCTATCACATGAGATGTTATGAACTAACAGATCAACTACACAAAATTAAAGGGTTCCTTTACAGTCGCCTGAGAACAGCGACACTTAAAAAAGATTATGAAGGGCAAGCTGTGCTTATCAACTGTCTATTGCGTAATTATTTGCACTACAATCTGTATGATCAAGCTGATAAGTTAGTTCAGAAATCAGTATTTCCAGAACAAGCTAGTAATAATGAATGTGCTCGTTTCTTATATTATCAAGGTCGTATTAAGGCTGCCCGTCTTGAATATTCCGTAGCACACAAAAATTTAGTTCAGGCTTTGCGTAAAGCACCTCAAAATTCAGCAGTTGGCTTCAGACAAACAGTTCAAAAGTTGGCTGTAACAGTGGAATTACTGTTGGGAGACATCCCAGAAAGGCATATATTCCGTCAAGCTAGTTTGCGTAAGGCTTTGGTACCATATTTCAGACTTACCCAGTCAGTCCGTTTAGGAGACTTGACAATGTTTAGTGAAACACTGGAGAACTTTAAGAAAAATTTCCTCAGTGACCACACTTATATGTTGATTGTACGCTTACGGCACAATGTTATTAAAACCGCCATTAGAGCTATTGGTGCGTCATATTCACGTATTTCAGTAGATTATATTGCTGAAAAATTAGGGTTAGATTCTCCCAAAGATGCCGAATTCATTATTTCTAAAGCTATTAGGGATGGTGTTATACAAGCAACCATTGATCCTGAACACGGATATGTGCAGAGCAAAGAACCAGTTGACATTTACTGCACACTCGAACCACAGATGGCTTTCCATCAACGTATATCCTTTTGTTTGAATTTGCACAACGAAAGCGTTAAAGCCATGCGTTATCCTCCTAAATCATATGGCAAGGATTTGGAATCCGCTGAGGAACGTCGTGAGCGCGAACAACAAGATTTGGAACTAGCTAAAGAGATGGCAGAAGAAGACGATGACGGATTCCCTTGAATAAAAAGTTAGAATAATAATGTTTTCATCAATAATTGGAGTTTTATTATAATTTTTTATATCCATATATATACACATATTAAAATATATGAAGTAATTCTAACATTAAGGTCTCTCATAAATCATAATTTATATACAACTTAAGAGTATATTAATTTGAATATGTAACAAATTAAAATGTATGATTCAATAAAAGTTACAAAAGTAAACATATCTGTTCACCACTTGGCACGTTTTGACCAGTCTTTGGGATTCCAATGTAAACATTTTGAGTCGATTCGAATTTTCCTTTTTTGAAATGATTCGATGTGTGTAGTAATTATATCTTTATTTATTGATATGATGTATTGTCCTTTGTAATAGTTAATCAAATTAAGTATTTGTAAGGTAGAAACAACATCTTCTTTTTTTATACTAGTCAGCTCACAAATTTCACTAAAACAAATTATAGGTTCGATAATAAACAATAGTATATTGTCGGCTAGTATTTAGCCAAAATATATTAATTACTTGATTGTGATTTGTGGTTTTTCGTTATCTGGCATTGGTTTCACAGTCAACAAGATATCCAAAATGGTTTGACTCCAATAACTACGATAAGATAACAAACCTAAATCTGACAAAGGTTTTTCAGGTGTCCCAGTTTTACCTTCAAATTTCGATAATTCATAACCTAAATAAAAAAACAAATTTTTGTATTGTGTTTAATTCATTACGAGTGTAAATTATACATACTAAATTCAATTAATAATTTCCCATAACCCTTCCTTTGGTAAGGCGGTAGTGTAAGAATACAAGCAACATTGTAGTCTTCTGTAGACTCTTTTTCTTTGGAAAAGTATCCCACAATATGAAATCCTTTTAAGTCATATTCAGTCATCACATAAAATAAGAATGGATCAGTGTCATAATACAATGTCTTGTGATCCAAAAATAGTTTTGCCAATAAACACAGGTTTTGAGAGTATGATTTATTCTTACGGCCATCAATCTCAAAAAACGATATAGATTCTTTTCTATATATTTCTGTACCAGGTGGATGTCTCAAGTTACATTTTATCTAAAGTCATACACAAAATTAATAATTATTAAAAAAAATTAAGAAAAAAAATTAACACTTACACTGTGTCTATAAAGAGAAGTTCTACTTTTTTTGAATTTTAAACAAAATTCACAAATAAATATGCATCCCAAGTTGACCATTTCCTGCCAGTTAAAAATGTATATAAAATTTATAAATTATGAAATGCAATAGTATATTATTTGTTATAGATTCTGAGCAAAGCTATGAAAATATTTGTTTAACAATGCATTTTTTTATCCTTAGACATTTTTTTAAACATTAAAAATGCATAGCAATCAAAGGTAAATTGGATCTACTTGATATATTAGGGGTTCTGTATAAAATTTCAATAATTTATAGGAAATTGTTTTTGTGACTACAGGAATTTAACATTTTTAGTTTTCACCAAGTATTTTAAATATATGTATTGGAAGTTTATGAGTTGTTTAAAGACATTTGCAATTTTCTTGTTTTTTATGATTTATCATTTATATTAGCAGTAATTTATTAAAAAATAGTTTTTATTAATAATTTTCAAATCTTTTTTTTTGTAGTTACAAATTCTATGATTTTAATTTTAATACCTGTGGTTTGAAAATTTAATTCAAGATTCCTCATAAGTTTTTCATGTACCTAGATGAATTATATTATTGATTTATAAGTTTATAACAATAATATTAACAATTTAACAGCCACGTGACTGCCGGCAGCCGTACTCCAATATTCAAATTCTATACTTTTATGCCCATTGATGATCATTACTACCACGCCATATGACCACCGGTGAAGTAAATTAATATGGTTTTCTATTGCGCTACAACAATGTACAAAATAAAGTTCAATGGCATAGTGGGAATCATTAAACATTTTTTTATGTAGTGTACATAATTTTTTTTATATTTTTTAAAACTATTCATTATATACAAATTTTGAATGACATGGAAAAGCATAGCATTTTAATACAAAATTATTTTTTCTACCCACGGGTACATGGCGGTAAACTTGTTAAGATAACTAATTTAATAACTATCCAATGTTTTTGGTAAAAATGAGTTCCACCTAGTTACCATATTACTAATATTAAAATAAATAAATATTAAAGAATAATATGGAGGCTGATACATAGAGATCTTTGCTCGGAGTTGGTTTTGCTATGCAATGATTTATCAAATGTAATACATCCATAAGTCATTCAACAAAAGAACTTCATCGTTTTTTTACCTGAGGATATGGAGAAAAATACCATGGGCTTATTCTATTCAATCCAAGTTCAATCATTTCTACATTTTTCATTCGAGTAACAACGTCATCATGTTGCATAACCATTGAGCCTGTCTGACGTGGTGTTGGTGTTGGTAAATCTTGAGAGTCCTGTTCAATTCATAAATCATATAACATTCAAACTACACAAAACACAAATTTCAACACACTTCATTATCAGCAATTTTTCTCTTTCTAGAAATTTTTTTTTGTAACGCAGCAGAAAGAACTGTAGCATCATTGTTTGGTACCACCGGTGGTAAACTTAACGGTGAAGCTGGTCGACTCTGGGACAGTATTGAAATGTTTTCAACTTTTATTTTAGGTGTACTGGCACCAGTACCAGATGTTCCAGTAGTCATACCATCTTTTCTGGGATATTGGACTTTACGTGTATCTAATCGTTCTTCTGTTACCCATTCATCTAACCTTTTATTATCTATAACATTAAATTTACAATTTATATTGGTGTAATAGTATGTAAATATCAGTCAACTTAATTATTTGAATTCAAATTTAACTTACAATCAATATAATGTACATAATAATACCGTGTCATTCCGACGTCTTTAATACTTATTACTTCTGCTAGTGCTAAATACATAAAAAAAAACATTAATTCTTTTGAATGACTAATTGTCAATGGTGCTGATTTACGTACGCCAGTCATCACTGCTATGCATCCTCACGGACAGGCGGCATCCTTCCGTTAACAAATTCTAAAAGAAGTAATTGTTTAAGTAAATATTATGTTTTCAGTGAAGTTAAATATACACTCACCACTGAATCGCATAGGAAATCGGGCTCTTCCTTCATGATTAAATTAAATATTTTTAAA